TACTTTTTTGTTTATCTTTTATAGGGGTGGTTGTTTGTTCAGCTGTTGTCGCTTGTTTTTGACGGAATATGTGTTGAAGTCACGTACACAATGCCGCGCTCTTCAATGCTGCTAGTGGCTGCCGCAGTGCTGCTTTCCATACTAGCCCTTGTTGGTTCCGTTTCTCGCTGTGCTTTATGTTATTAAATGTTCATTCCGCTGGACCTGCTGGCTAATACTGATCCACAATGCAGGAAAGTGCTTATCTGGTCTCGTCCTTGGTGGCGTCAGGGTGGTTAGGATCCAGGTTAGACACATGTTTTCGACGGAATCTGCGCTGACGGTCTGTAATCGCCCCCCTGTCCCTCCTCCCTCTCCTCCCTCTCCTCTCTTTCCTTCTCCGCTTGTCTCGCCTGTGCCTGCTTTCTTTGTGCTCCTTCGTTGCGCTCTCTGCTTGTCCCTGTATGCGATGCTCAGTTACGTGACATTCGGGTATGGTAGCTCGGCGGGTGGTCTTCACAGGCCGTGCCGACCCGACTTCGACTTCGACGGCATTGGAAGCGCATGTGTGAGCTCTTCAAGAACAAAGGTGGCATGTGGCACGTAAAGAAGGAGTGATCCATGACCTTGATGCTGCCCTAGGGTGTATGGAAGACATGGCGCGCCAGACACAGGTCCGCTCCGAGCTCCGTGGCATCTTGACTTCGGAAGAAGAGATCATAGGGGTGTTCCCATCCGGTGGCGATTGGGGACAAAACACGGCCGTTGACATCCGCTTCCGTGCGTCGCTGATTGCTTTGAGGTTTTCGGATCTTGTGCGCTCCACGCTTCGTCCATTCCTTGCGCAGCTGAACGGGTCCATTAAGTGTTGGGTGCCTCTGTCTCAGGGAGAAATGGCGAAGCGCGGAAAGCGTAGAGCCTTGGACAGCGCGAAGGGTGCTGGCAAAGGCAAGAACAAGGGGGTGGGGAGCTGGCACAAATCCCTTAAGCGCTCCCCGAAGAGAGAGCGGCGCCATTCCTCCAGGGGCAGGCGTTGAGCGTCTGTTTGTATTTTCCATCGCGACACCCCCACCCCCGCCCCTTGTTTAATGCTTTCCTCCGTGGCGGGGCTGTGCTCATGATTCCGTACGAGATGATGCTCCAGAGAGTGTGCTTCCAGTGGTTCTATGAGGTTTCTTTCGGTGTTCGTTTCCACTCAGGTTGAGTTGTACTTCGGGACTCTGGGTTTCCATTTCGGTAGCCAGGCACGCAGTGAGGAAAGCAGTACTTTGAGTGATTATCTCAGCTAGCATCTCCTTTGCAAGGGTTTATCTGAACGGCAGACGGAAGACATCGCTGGCCATACTTTGAGTGATCATCTTTGCTTGCACTCTCGCCTGGAGGTCCAGCAGACAGTGGCAATACTTTGAGCGATTATTTTTGTTTGTAGACTTTTTAGGACCTTGTGTGTGTTTTCTATTTCTTTTGCTTTACCGTAAGTTGGGGATTCCGGTTAGGTTTGCAAACAGACAGCAGTGATGGCAATACTTTGTGTGATTTTGACTCCTACGTTGGTTTTTCGCAGCCCTCGGTTTTATTGTTGCTGCTGCCTCACTTTTTGTGCGCAAAGTTCCTGCTCCAGATGTCTGCCTTCGGTCCTCTTCGCCTGTTTGTGTCTTTCCCTTTCCCTCCTCTCCCTCTGTTTTTTTTGTTTCTTTCTTTCTCTCTTCCCTTCTTTCGGGTCGTGTCTGTTTGTTGTTCCCGGCGCTAAGTGCTGTCCGCTTTTGAGGTAGGGTTGATGCCAGTCTGCGTCACAGGAGCCTTGCGGGTGGCCTACGTCAGGACTTTGACGTTCGTAGGTGAGGTGCGTGCTGGGTTGCTGTATCCTGGCGGTCCGGGGTAAACCCTTGAGGCAGTTGAGGTGTTAACAGTCATGACGGTTAGGGGCCAAGCCACACTCTCTGAGGAGAGTGCACAACAGATAGCTGGTCCGGATTCGCCTATGTTGCCTGTGCGGCTGCGACAATCCTCATATCCAAGTCTCCGGGTCTGCTGGGCGCTGGTATGTTAACAATGGGATCCTGTCTCTCCTTCCCCTCCCTCCTTGTCTTCTGTTCCTGTCTCTTCCCAGTCTGGTCAGTGGCAGGGTGCTTCGAACCTTTTTCCTGGTGGTTGTCTTGCAGGGGCCCAGTTCCCGTTCTTCAACCCGGTCATTTCCGCCCCTGTGGAGACTCTCCAGGTGGGGAGGAGTTGTTGCAGTTTGGTGAGCAGGAACACCTCGTGGCTGCAGGCTCGTTCAGAGCCAGATCATTTTCTGGTTCGTGGTGTTGACAAGAAATGGGTTAAGTCGGTCTTTACAGTCCATTTCGCGGGCAACCAGACATGTATAGGAAGACTTCGAGGCTGGGTCGTCCGCCTAGGTTCTCATGTGCTCCCTGGCTTGAACACACCTACCACGATCCGGTCGCGCTTTTGCTCAGGGTTGGTAGATTGGGCCGGGGAAGCAAAGCGTAGGATGGAACTGGCTCCCCGACCGGATGTGTTACGTTTTCTGGGTTTCTCGCTGCGTTTAGGCGTAAATATGCGGAGGTTGTTTCCGAGGAGCTGGAAAAGGAGCGTCAGACTGAAGATCTGAAGGGGTTCTGCTCTGTCTGTTGATGTACTAACACCGGTGGCTTTAGGAGGCCAAGCTAGGGGACAGTTTTGATCCATTGCTGTCGGCGCGGCAGCGACAAACTCTGGCGAATCATTCTGTATTGTCTTCGTTTCCCTCTGTTCAATCGGGTGCGATGTTCTCTTGCCCTGCTTCACCCTTTTTCTCTCTCTGTTCGTGAAAAGGTTTCGATTGGCGGCTTGTGAGTTCTTGCTCCCTTCCTCTGCTCCTGCCCTCGCCCCCTTTCCCTCTCCTCTGGCTCGTCCTTCTTTTGCCTCGTCCTTGCATTTGGACCCTGTGCTTTAATTTCGGCTGCGACAACTTGCATCTGCTTGTGCATGACGGTGCATGACCTTCCCCTGCTTCTCAGCCCTAAAAGCGCTTTGGGTTTCCTTTCCTTCTCCATTTAAGTTTTCACATTCCATCGCGCCAGCAAGAGTTTGAAAATTTTATGGTTCCGATTAGGGGCTCTGAGTAAGGTTCCGGTCGGGGGTTCGACTAAGTATCGGTTCGGATTGGGACTGCGATCCAGGTTGTTGTCGAATTTCCGATGAGGGTTCCGGTTAGTGGTTCCAATTAGGGATAATTAGGGTTGCGATTGAGGTTTGATTGGGGTTCCGCTCCGGGTTCCGACTATGATTAGAGTTCGCCTTAGAGGTCTTCCCTGAACCGTAACGGATGTAGGTTGCGTCAGTCCAGCCGGTTGACAGAGCCACCAGCAGTGCCCGTGTCCAAGCTGGTTCTGGGGAGTCGGATTTTTGAAGTTGGAGGGGTTGGGTTTCGGGGTGTCGGCCCAATTCTAAGAATCCTCCGCTTTTATGCATGGCCCAAGCTTTGCCTTACTATGGATGGTGTCCCAACCGAACCCAGAAAGCTTTACAAAATCGAGCTATGCCAAGCTTCCCAATCCGAGTCCGACAAGCGAAAATCGAACCAATGTGGAGGTTCGAGGTTAACTTAGTCTGCGGTCGGCAATTCCGGGTTCTGCGGTGCAGTGGGTTTGTCATTAACCGGCAGCGATCTGGGTGTTTGGCCAAAGGCCACCTTGGGCCCATGAACTATGTCATTGATAAAACGCACCGGAAAGGAACCATTTGGAACCCATGAAACATAATTGAAGATTCGAACGCTTGCGTCATTTTTCCTTTTTCGTTTTTCAAGCTAATGCGTTTTTCAAAATGTGTCGACGGCTATGTTATGATTTTTCGTCACCCTGAACCCTTTGCCCCGAGGCCGCGGGCGTAGGCTTAGGGGCCGCGTCCGCAGCCCTGGCACTCGGCGGCGCCGTGTCCCAACGTGCCCGGGCCGTGGCGGGAGGCTGCGCAAAAGACATGTTGTTCAGGGTTTCGGTTGCTTTCGGGGCACGTTCGATGTTTTTTTTGGCTGGTTTTCCGGCCCAAGCATTTGAGGCGACAGATTTTCGTGTTTTATATCATGGTTTATGGTCCGTTGCTTGCACAGCGAAGGTTCTGAGCTTGCAGATCGCTTTAACTGCCGCTGAGGGATTTGTGAACCAACTGCCTTGCAGTAATTAAATCAAACCGTGTCTTGGGCGGGCGCTGCATCGCTCTGCAGCGAAGATAGCTTGAATGTAATCTGACATCAGAAAGTCGGAATGACTGCAGTGGCCATGCGCATAAAAGTGGCCATGTGCATGACAGATCCACCACGCCAATCTCACTTGATTGGTTTAACAGTAAGAAACCTTCAGGGGCAACTCAAGACCGCAGAAGTTCGACGCGACAGCCGACATGTTTCGACCGGGCTAGGAAGGGAAGCAGTGTTCGACTTGTTTTGCAGCCGAGGTCGCTTCCAAAGGCACCCTGCAGCAGCGAACAGTGGCCCCGGCACGGGCTTTTTCCATTCCGAGTGGGCCGTCGGCTTTGTGGTTTGAGATGCACAGTTGAGGTGAGCCCACGCACCTCCTTCCTTTGCAGCTTCGAGAGACCTTGAAAACTCTCATCGAGGGTTGAGCATCTGAAGAACTGCACGAGGGTTGTATACATTCGAAGAGCAAGAGCTGCTGTAGCCGGAATGGGCATGGTGTTGACTTTAGTTCTATTTGTTTTGATCAGTGATGTGCAGTTTCGGTGCCTTGGGTGGCCGCGCAAACTAGCTCAATCGGAACTGGCTGCAATGTTGAGTTTCAACACCGAGAGTGCTGCGTGCAATTCGCGTTTTCAGGGGGCTGTGTGGCCCTGTGCCCTCGATCATGGCTGCCGGTCTGAAGCGACGGTAACAGGCAACTAGCTGGGCTCCGGAATCCTTGGTCTCTGCGCAAGGCTGACTGAAAGGCCTAAACCCTACATTCCTACATCCTCTCCGAAATGATAGCAATGCCGGAGAGTTCTAGCTGTTGTGTTTTCGTTGTTGCCCCGGGGTGTGCCAGGTAGCTCTGAAGGCCTTCGAAAGCGAGCTCGGAGTGCATCTCGCTCCGTTTGGAGATTTTTCTTTGGCATCCAAATATGAGCCCACGGCTTTGGGATTTGTTGGGCTCTTCAATCAACGTTGACAAGTTAAGAAGAGTGTAGTGAGCGCACCCGGCTCCATGTACCCGGTTCAGAAAGCTTACACAACATGGAGTCCTTCTCGGTGTTGCTGTCGGTTTCGTCGTACCCCGCAGCAGAGATCCGAAGCCTAACACCAACAGACTAGAGTCTCAGGCAAGAGCCACCCCAGGTTCGATTTCAATATCAATCAAGACATGCTGAGGCAGGATCCTGTGGGTTTCTGGGATCCAGTCGGCTTCACCTCCGACGGATGCTAAGCTGCAGAAGCTATGTTATGGTATGCTTTGCTTTGCTATGACAGATGTGTTTCTGCAGCGGAATTTGTTCAACGCACCGGGCTTGGCCCAATGCTAACCCATGGTAGCAGCGTGTAGATAAACAACCGAGAATGACGGTAGGAAGACCACGACGTTTCACATAGTGACATAGAGCAAGGCTAATAGATATGCACTCCGGAGGCCTCTGTATGTCTTTGGTCTCCCTCATCTTGGAAGTATGTTGTGGAAGGCATCCTTCTGATACGCTGGCCGTGAGAAGTCAACTTCTGGACTTTTGCCGGGGTTCGCAAAGGGGAGGCTCGATCCTGTTGCAACTAAATGGTTATTAAACAGGCTTCCTGGTTTCGTTTCCGACGTTTGATGCGAGTAGTGTGTCGACCATGGCACGGAAACATGCTCAGTTGGAACAGCTGTAATGCCGGTTCCGTGAGCATATGAAATTATGCTCATGTTGAACACCATCACCGTTGAAATTGCTGCTCCTCTCCATCACCATCACCGTCAACACGTTTATCAGCATCAAAATCATCATCCACATTGCCTTCCCCTCAAGTATCACCGCCATCCCGAAGTCGTCATGAGCAGCATAATCATGACGTTCATCTTCCTCACAAGGATCCGTCTATCCGCCAGCTTCTGAGGAGATGTGGCAGCCTTTAAGAGGCGTCGCTCCGTCGAGCTGCCGCCTGGCATCGGCTAGGCTTTTGCTTGGTGTAACGAGTTGGTGAAAGGAACCTTGAGGGCTTTGACTGAAGATTCAGTGCTCGATGATTATCAGGAGAAGAGCACCGGTGCATGGTGCTTGTAGACGTGGGTGGAGTTTGTGTTTGCCGGGCTGTCCAGGGTGTAAGACATCAGGGGCTCGGGACCGACCGTTGGAGCACGCCCGCTCTCATGAGTTTGAGAGTGCACGTGGGTCTCATGAGGAAGCATGGGCGAATCTCGATGATGGCCGCGATGGGTACCGTGGCCTGTGAGAGTTTTCTTTGAGGTCCAAAGGCTAAAGGCGAAAGCTGTTTGGGAAGGTGCTCTTAAGTCTTAAATAGTTGCATCAGGAGGTTTCCATGACTAAATGCGTTTTTCTAGACATAGTCCATCCGGCTTAAGAAGATCATCTTGGTCTCGTTGGGGCATCTTTGCGTCCTCTATAGTGCTTGTTTCGGCGACGAGTATGTTTGTGTTCCGGATCCACCAGCCAGTGTGCTCGAGGCTACATCACCCCAGAAGTCACCGGCAAGCTGCCCGGATCTTAGGGGGACCGTGTGGTTTGCAGCGCCTTTACTGTTAGAGGGGTTTCTTTTGCAGGCTGCTGCTCAAGGACCCAAGTAGCAAGGTTTGGGGTTCCCTTCAGCCCTCTGTTGCTTTGTCGGGCCGCTGAGAATCTGTCAGGCCTGGCTTCTTGTCGCCCTCCGCGGGCTTGAAGTTTGCAGACATCCCGAACGGCCTTGCGGCTGTCGCCAAAGTACCCGTGGCAGGCTGGGCACAGATTGCCGCGTACTTTGGCTTCGTGGAGTTCAGCGGCGGCTTCGACGATTACAAGAGTGGCACGCCGGGCGACTACGGCTTCAAGGTGCTGACATCTTCGGATCCTGCTGAGAAGACGAAAAAGCTGTCTGCCGAGCTGGCAAACGGCCGCCTGGCGATGATGGCGATCATCGGTATGTTCTTCCAGGCACGGAACGCATGACTCCCACAATCTCCTTCAATAATTTTCTGCACTCTGTAACTGGCTCTTGGACTCGATAGTGCTTGCTACTGATTTGTCAAGTCTTCTCGTGCATAGGATGGTCTGACCGGAAGCGCCTGGGGTGACTGGGCCAACTACACCGCATCGCCTTTGCGTGCATTCGAGAACGAGCTCGGCGTGCAGGACCCCGTCGGATTCTG